TACCCTACGTCTAATCTAAAGTTCTCTCTTTAGTGAGATGATTTAGCCAAAGCAAGCTCTCTGACTTCTGTATCAGGGACAAAGTTATGAGAACAAATCTTTTCAAAATGCACTGAACTCTCACTGGCCCTCCTAACATATTCTCTTGTGCTTTGAAAGTAGCCTTACAGTGTTTTACACAATCATTCTAAATGGAATCTTACCTGTTTCCCCCACTCCCAGAATTTTTTAAAAGTGAGCCAACAAAATAATTATCCAAGTACACTGAGAATTTTGTATCCAGTTTGGTTCCTATACTTTAATAAAATTAAAACAATAAAATGTCAGGTGAGAGGAGATGAGGGGAGACACACAAACATAAAAATTCAGCAGAAGTCATCCTATGGGGGAAGACAAAAAAATGGATGTTCCAGTTTAAGACAATGCAATCCTGGTTAAAAGGAAACCATGGATGGTAGTAAGAATTATGTCCTTATTTACCACAACTCAGAATTTCCTAACAGATGTAACCTTTGATTTTTGAGGACGTGGTTTATGAACAACAACTCCAAATTTAAATCAGTACCTATTTACAGAATGTGTCTAGTCAGTAAGCAATGTCAGGGGAAGCATGGGAGTCAGAGGTTTATATGAGCTCAGAGATGATGAGTGTGGAGCTGGGGTCAGGACCATGACCACATGGTGGAGCAGCATCTTATCTTCCATAAACCACCCCTGTCCACGCCAGGGGAACATTTAGGATGGGAAAGCTCAAGTCCCTACACACACACACACCCCTACCTCTCGTTTCAACCCCACCACCCTCCATCCTTGGTTTTCCATCTCAGATTGAGATGATGGATCACTCAAGGCTCCCTCCATATCCTACAACAATCCCCTTATGGAAAAACTGCCTAGGTGTTTCTTTAGGCAAAATGTAGAATGATCGTGAGAAACACTATTAGATAATTCATTTTCAAAAATAAGAAAAGATATTCCTTGCTGTTCAGAGAACCAAGAACAGCTGAATACATTCTGAAAATACTTCTGCTCAAACCTTTTCCCTGTATAGCACCCCCAGTGACTCAGTGGTAAAGAATCTGCCTGCTATGCAGGAGACTCAGGAGAAGTGTTTGATCTCCGGGTCAGGAAGATCCCTTGGAGAAGGAAATGGCAACCCACTCCAGTATTCTTGCCTGGGAAATTCCATGACAGAGGAGCCTGGCAGGCTACAGTCCATGGGATCCCAGAGTCAGACATGACTGAGTGACTAAAACACAACAACACTCTGAAAATACTTTTCAAAACGTTTCCCTGATACAGTTTTAGTTACACAGGTTTATATGGGAAGATACAGTCCAGGGATAATTTTAATAAGTTTTTCGTTAATAAATTTGATAATATATCCAGGAGAGGAGCAGGGGCTTTTAAGGAGCTGGGTTTAAATCCCAGCTCTATATCTTAAAACAGCCATGTGACCTTGGGCATGTTATGTGGCCTCAATGTCTTTGCTTGAAAAGGAATGATAATAGCTTTTTTAAAAAAAAAAAAGCATTTTATTTTATTTTTTACCTTTTGGACTCACTGTGCGGCATGTAAGATACCCAATCAGGGATCAAACATGCACCCTGTACAATAGAAGCCTTAACCACTGGACCACCAGGGAATTCCTTTAAAAAATAAATTAGGGAGGATTTCCCTGGTGGTACGGTAGATAAGAATCCACTGCCAATGCAGGGGACATGAGTTCAGTCCCTGGTCCAGGAAGATTCCACATGTCGAGGAGCAACTAAACCCCTGCATCACAACTACTGAACCTGTGTGCCCAAGCTACTGAAGCTCTCATGCCCCAGAGCACGTGCTCCACAAGAGAAACCTCCACGATGAGAAGCCTGCACATGGCAACTAAGAGTAGCCCCTGCTCGCCGCAACTAGAGAAAGGCCACACGCAGCAATGAATACTCAACACAGCCAAAAATAAATAAATTTTTAAAAGTGAACTTAGGGACTTCCCTGGTAGTTCAGTGGTTAAGAATCCATCTTGCAATGCAGGGTACACAGATTCGATCCCTGGTTGGGGAACTAAGATCCTATAGATTGCAGAGAAACTAAGCCTGCTTGCTGCAACTAGAGAATCTGCACCACAACAAAAGATCTCTCGGTGCTGCAACTAAGATCTGATAAATCTTAATAAATAAATATTTATATTAAATATATATTAAATAAATAATTTTTTTAAAGAAATTAACAAACTAACAACATGCCTACCTTTAGAATATTAGTTGTTTGGTTGTTATGAGAATTAAAAGCTAGTATATATAAAGAACTCTGTACAGGGGCTGGAAATGTTTCAGTAAATATTAGTTACTATGTGATTCCACAGGCCCCAATAGAGTGCCTGCTTGTAACGAGTGCTCAGCAAATACTTGTTAGGAGAAAAATGCATCCATTTACATTTTGCCTCATTTCTTGTCCAGTGAAGCCCTTTGCAAAAATAAGCATAACATCTCTGGAGCTCTTACTATAATATATGCCAGAAATGTTAGGTATTGTTGGTGTGCTAATTTAACCCCTTCAGAAACCTATCTTACAGAAAGGAAACTGAGGCAAAAGAAGGTTAAGTAACGCACCCAAGATCACACAGCCAATATGTTCTGGAGCAGGGGTTCAATACCTGCCACTGCCCTCTTGTGTCTGAACTCATAGAACTAGTACAAAGAAATAAATTTTGTGAACAAATAAGCATGTTTTCAGCTAAAGAACTCTGAGAAGTCTTTTAGGTTGGGTACCTCCTCTAAGGTAGAGTTCTGGTTGGCAACACTTTTAAATTCATCCCAAAATAATTTTTTGAGCTTGTCTATTTCCCCATATAGCTTGGCCCGCTCTTTTTCTTTCCATTCATCAAATTCTTTCTTAGCTTCTGTTTCCCTCTGGCGAATGATCTCTGCTTCCTACAAAGAAAAACAAGAACAAGAGAATCTTAATTCCACGCTATGACAAATATTTACCAAGAAACTGACAGGGCCCCTTTTCCGTGCAAGTCACTATGGAGACCCAAAGAACATTTATCCCCCAGCCCCCAGTGTTTGGACTGGGAGTGGAATTAGTCTTATCTGAACTGTAAAGGATGGGGAGCCCATCTCTTCTCTCTTTATATTTTTCATGATGTCTGGCAAGGAGTAATGAATGAATAAATGACGGAAGACATGACGGAAGGCGTGACGCAAGTGTATGTATTTTCATTCTACAAATATTTACTGAATACCTCCTCTGAGCTGCCTTCTGGAGTTTACCCAGTCTTTGTCCTCCAAAAGCTAACAGTATACTGTAAGAAGTTAAAATTCAGGTTCAAATGCCCTCAGAGGGTGCAAACACAGGAAGCTGTAGCTCTCTTTTGGCCACACAGTTCTGGTCAAATAACTGAATTTTCCTTCCCAGACTACATAAAACCACTTGGCACATCCAGGAAGACACATCCTAGCCCTGAGTCTCAGCTCTGGGAAACAGCCAGAATGTCGACTCTGTGGGATCTGAGCACATTACAGATCTCCTGGCCAGTCCATGACTGAATCCCCTGCCATTTCTCCTCCACGCCCACCTGGAGCTGCCGCTGCCTCTCCGCCTCCCTCTGGGCTTCCAGCTCCCCTTGGGTCCACTTCAGTTTGGCCCGTAGCTCTTCTAACACCTCCTCCACTGGCTGCTCCTGCTTCCTCTGCTTTCCTGTGGGATCCACACAAAGCGAGGGTGACCAGCATGAGTCAGAGTCAGTGGTGCGTACAGTTCCTTGTGTGCAGTCACACCTCAGTCTGAGACCAGCTTTGCCACTTACATTGTACACTGCCTCTGGGCAAATGATATAACCTCCCTGACCCTCTGTTTCTCCAAAGTGGAAAATGGAAGCAATAACAGCACCTAACCCAGAGGGGCATGAGGAGACGGCAGGAGGAGAAGGGGACGACAGAGGATAAGATGGTTGGATGGCATCACCAACTTGATGGATATAAGTTTGAGCAAGCTCTGGGAATTGGTGATGGACAGGGAAGCCTGACAGGCTACAGTCCATGTGGTTGCAAAGAGTCGGACATGAATGAGCAACTGAACTGAACCCAGAGGGTCATTGTGAGGATGAAATGTGATAATGCAAAGTGCCTAGTGTAGCACCTGGCAGACAGCTCGATACATGTAAACTCTAGTTGTCATTTAAAATAACTATTTTGTAAATATGTATTTATTTTTGTTTATTTATTTGGCTGTACCAGATCTTTGGTTGCAGTATATGGGATCTAGTTCCCTGACCAGGAATCAAATCTGGGCCCCTTGTATTGGGAGCTTGGAGTCTTAACCACTGGACCACCAAGGAAGTCCCTAAAATAACTATTTTGACAGTACTTACAAATGGGAAATATGAATGCAAAACTTGTAGAGTAACAGAATCAGGATACCAAATAGTATGAACACACTGATTATTAATACAAAGAGGGGAATTTAAAGTAATGATAAGAATTGTAGTTTTAAGTTCATTCTTTTCAGTAATGTAGTACAGTTCAAATATGTAGTTTTAAATTTTAAATAAAAATAAATAAATAAATAAATAAATTTCAAAGAAAAAAAGGCACTGTGCACTATGAAGAAAACTTGAATTATAGAAGAATATTCTAACTAAACCACCTACTGATAAACTAAGAGTTAAAGGTTAATGAAAAAGACACCAATTGTACTTGAACATCTGTTACTTTTCAAAGTACATTTAGGGATTATTAGATGGTACTTTTATTAAAACTTCAAGCTTTTTTTTTGAAAAGATATATGGCTTTAATCAAATGGGGCTTTTTAGAAACAAGCAACTTTTAGATGCAGTGGAAATTAATTTGGATTAATAAAGTGATTTGAGGGACTTCCCTGGAAATCCAGTGGTTAAGATTCAGGGTTAAGATTCTACTGCCAGGGGCACAGGTTCGAACCCTGGTCAGGGAACTAAGATTCAGCATGCTATGCAGCACTGCCAAAAACATAAAGTAATAAAATAAAAATAAAGTGATTTGAGGTGAGTCTGGAATGGGAGAACTGCAATATTTGAGAAGTCAGCTACCTGATAATAAATTAATGAACACTAATACAGCCAAAGTTGTCTTCATTGTTGTTGTTTTAGTTGTTAAGTCACGTCCAACTCTTTTGTGACCCCAAGGACTGTAGCCTGCCAGGCTCCTCTGTCCATGGGATTTAGTTAAGAAGATATTTTTCCTCTCCATATTTTCCCAGCACTGTACATTAAGGAAGTAATAAGGAACATGCACAAGGATTTATGCACAAGAATGTTACCACCATGTGATTTATAACTGGGGAATGTTTTAGTTATCCAAATAAATTAAGAAATAATTCAGTTGTGAAATAAATTATGATCAGCACATGATGAAATACTATTCAGTCATTAAAAACCATGTTTTCAAAGATGATTTAATGACTTTGGAAAATGTGATATATTCTTAATTGAAAATAAGCAGTATCAAAACTGCATCCTATATGATAATATTCATACACAAAAAATAATGACCATGGACACACCAACATATTAGCTGCAGATGATATCATCCATGGTTTTTATTTTCTCTTTTCTACCTTTCTGCATTTAAATTTTCTATATCAAAGGCATGTATTTTCCAATTTTTTACTACGGTAAATATACCTAACATAAAACTTACCATCTTAGCCTGTACATTTTTAAATGTACAGTTCGGTAGGATTAAATACATTCATAATGTTGTTCAACCGTCACCACTACCCATCTTCAAGACATTCTTCATCTTGTAAAACAGAATCTCTGTCCTCACTAAACACTAACTTCCCATCCCCTCTTCCTCCAGCCCCTAGCAACCTCCATTCTACTTTCTGTTTCTATGCATTTTGCTATTCTTTGTACCTCATATAAGTGAAATCACATGGTATCTGTCCTCTTTTAACTGACAGTTCACTTAGCAAAATAACCCATTGTAGCAAATTGCAGAATGACCTTTCTTTTTAAGGTTGAAAAATATTTAATTGTATCTCTCTCTCTCTCTTTCTCTCTCCCCCTCCCTCTATATATATATATATACATATATATATATATACACATATCACATTTTGCTTATTCATTCATCTGTCAGTGGACATTTGGGTTGCTTCTACACCTTTAGTTACTGTGAATAATGCTCCATGAAAATGAGTGTACAACTATCTCTTCAAAAACATATATTTTTTTCAGAAAAAAGTATTTAATAAATAAGAAATCTGTTTTCTTTAGTTGCCTCCAATGTAGAACCAAGAAGAATCAGATATAAAATAAATGCATAGTAACTAGGTGAATAGTGCTATTTTAAAACTCTGTTCTTTCAAAAGGAAATTAAAATAAAGGGAAAAATGTTTTATTCAATGAGATTTTGTATTTAATTTATATTACATTTTATAATATATTTGCATTAACAGCTAATTCTTCTTGAAATTCAAAAAATCCCTTAAAGGGGAAAACATATAGCCTTGCTACTTGTTCTAGAATTTGAAACAGTAAAACTACAGTGATTAAATCATAATGAATTCATGTACATTAAAAAGTCAAAGAACTGGTCTGACTGCTCCTTAGGCCCAGTTAGGCTTACTCATAGTCAGCACCAATTCTCAGAAGGCTGGGAGGTAAGGGCCCATCCAAGTCACTGTGTCTAACTGCCTGAGTCACAGCCAAGGACGCTGAGATTCAGGGAAGGAAACCACCCTAACCATGGCCACATAACAGAAGGGGACAGAGTGAAGACTGGAACCTACCTGTCTGACCCCCAGCCCTTTTTCTCTAAACATGTGGCCAGAAACGTTCCTAACCCCCTGTGGGATACCTCCATGTGGTGGGATCACCAGCTCCTCAACTGGATGATGAGGTTCTGGGCTTTGTACACGTCCTCCACCTGCTGAACTGGGCTGGGAGCCAGACAGGTGGCTTCCAGTCTTTGTTCTGCCTCTTATATCATGTGACCATGGTCAGTGTTTCCTCTCTGAGTCTCAGTGTCCTTGACTGTGAATGGGACAGACTGAGTGACTTTGAAGAGCCCTTACCTCCCAGCCTTCTAGAGAAGCCCAGGCCCTTCCACTCACCGCCTTCCACCATGCCTGCATGCCTGCGCTGGATGTGGCCCCGGAGAAAGGTGGCATTCATGAAGGTCTTGTCACACAGGTGGCACTACACAGAGGGAAGCAGTGGGAAGTGCAGGATCAGCTCACCTGAGTCATCCTGGGATGATTCTCCCTCTATCAACACTCCCATTCCTTGGGAACCCTGGGCTGCTTCACAAATGAAAAGTTTGATTTACAAAGTAAGGTAGTGATGCAAATTATATATATATATATATATATGTATATATATATATATATATATATATTGCTGTTGTTTAGTTGCTAAGTCATGTCCAACTCTTTAGGGACCCTATGAGCTGTCACCCCCCAGGTTCCTCTGTCCATGGGATTTTCCAGACAAGAATACTGTAGTGGGCTGCCACTTCCTTCTCCAGGAAATCTTCCCAACCCAGGGGTCGAACCTGCATCTCCTGCACTGCTTGTGGATTCTTTACCACTGAGCCATTATATACACATAAATATTTTTTATACAGCCCCTTCAAAATATTTATTTTCTGAGCTTTAAAACACTACCAGTGCTGTAGGGAGCTATGAACAACAACTAGGCATTTGATGATACTAAGGAATTTTTGTTGGTTTTTCACGGCATGATAATGGTATTATGCTTATGTTTAAAAGTGGGAGTCCTTGCTTTTCAGAGATACAAAGTGAAATATTTACAGATAAACTCATATGACTGATACACTTCAAAATAATCCAGGGGTAGGGGAAAGTGTGTAGGGGAACCAATGCAACAACATTGGCCATGAGTTGAAAACTATTGGGCTGGGTAGTATGCAGATGAAGGTTCGTTATATTATTCTCTCTACTTTTTATATATTTGATATTTCTCACAATTTTCCCCTCCTCCTCCCCTTCCCTGCTTCCCCTTTCCCACCCCAAGCAGCACATTCACAAACCAGGCACTAAACACAGCTCTCTGCCATGCCAGCTCTGAATCTGAGAAAACGGAATACTGGCATTGCAGTGGCCCAACTTGCTACCACACAGACAGATTCTTTCTGAGAATGGAATCCACACTGACAAAGAATTGCCAAGAGCTGCAGAGAGAGACACTAGACCCTGGTGCCATTATCTGAGTCCACCATAATCCTGGATTTTTCAGTTAAATTAACCAATAAATTCCTTATTGGCCTAAGCCAAGTTAAACTGCTGTTTTGTAATTTACTACTGGAAAATGTCTGACCCTTTTTATCATAATTAGCATTACATTAATTGCATCAATTACCATTCTAGTCACTAATATCATATCTTAGTGATTCCTTTTGTCCAATCTCCCTTACACTGTGAATTGCTGAAAAATCTGAACCAGCATCATTGGTGCCTTCATCCTCAGAGCCTGCCAGAGGGTCTAGCCACCAACAATTCATTAAAGGGCAACTGATCCCAATCTACACTTTTCATGGAAAGAGACGCAAATGCTCAGATGCCACTTTGGGTGATGAACTGTTACTTGGTTGACTAATGGAGTCACTTTTCCAGACAGTCTTGTCTTCACCAGTTCCTTGCCACATGCTGATTTCACACATACCCTCACACACTGATTTCACACATACCCTCACACATCTCTTATACACGTTTATCACATCACACCTCTACACACACACAAAGCCTTCACACATACACACTTAGGCCTCTACACACATACACACCCTTCCTACATCCACACATGTGACAAAAGTATATCTTTACATGCAATTTTACATAAGCACGTTATATGCCACACACTCTACATACACACATGCACACACCATTCACAGACAAAACCCTCCAAGCAATCATATCCACACCTTAGGTATGTTTACCCACCATCTGTAAAACTCACACACACCCTGCATATGTTCACACATGCACACATGAGACATAACACATAAGACACCTATACTCTGAACTCATACACACCTGCCACACAACTACACACGCATTGTAGACCTAACCAGACACCAGGGGGCTCTCTGGTGATGAACGGCATCTCAAATCTGCTCCCAGCCCCAGTGAGAATGGCCACAGCTGCCTCGGGGCCCAGGCGGCAGTGCCACCGAGGTGGCCACTGGCTGGGCGCACAGCCCTCCCAGGGTCCCCGCCCGCAGCGGTGCTCACGGTGTGGTAGCTGTGGGCGCCCGTCTGCAGGAGCAGCTGCTGCAGAGCGCTGATCATCTTGCGCCGCCGCCGGCTCTCCTCCCGCACGCCCTTGAGCTCATCGGCCTGGCGGCCCAGCTCCTGCTGACCGCGCTCCTGCTGGCCCAGGCTGGCCTGCAGCCGCGCCTCCAGCTGGGCCACGCTGGTGCTCAGGCAGTCCTGGCAGTGCAGCAGGTACTCGATGCTGAGCTGCGCCAACCGCAGCACCTTGAGCAGCACTGGGTCCACGGGCTGCCCGCAGCGGCCGCACACCTCCCGGTCCAGGTTGCAGAAAGTGACACCAGCGATGTTCTCCTGCAGGGCAGCCACGTCCAGCTCCCGTGCCACGCGGTCCACATCCAGGGCACTGATGCGCCTCCAGTCCACACTCTCACGGCGAGGCTGGAACTTGAAGGTGGGGAGAGTGTAGGCCCCAAAGAGGGAGCCGCTGAGGCCCTGGGCTGTGCTGGTGGGAGACTGCATGGGTGGGGGAAGCCCTGGGCTGGCCACCGGGGAAGGGTACCACCAAGGCCACGGCAACAGGCACAGGAGTTGAGAGAGGGCCTGGAAAATGAGAAGAGTCGAAGTTAGGCCTGCTGCATGTGGCTGCACGTACCATGTTGGACCACAGGAGCCTTAGGATGCACGGTGTGCGCTGACATGGCCAAAGCAAGGGTGTGGGCTTTATAACACACAAGTGTGGGTTCAGATCCTCAGCCTTGAACAAGATCCTTTGTATTATTAAGCCTCCATGTGTACTGGGAATCATGGTGCCTCCTCTGCAGGCCTGTGGTTAGGAATGAGGCAGGAGAAACACCCAGCCCAGTGCCTGACACACAGTAGGTCCTCAGTGTACTCCCCACCATGTCCAAGTGCACAGAAAGAGTGCCTGCCAGAGGGCTGGGTCAGGAGAGAGCTGTCAAATGTATCAGGAAGTCTTTCTGTAACCCTATACTGATCTCAGGATTAAGTCCAGTAAATCTGCCTTGGGAGGCAGAGCCACTTAACAGTGGACATTAAATGGTTCTCCTTCGGTAACTGCAAAATTTAATGGACAAGACGGGCTACAGTTTCCCCCGCTGTAAGCCGGACCCATATGACCATGTTTTCTTTAGTGGGATGTGAGTGAAATGATGTCCAGCTCTGCCACAGGGTGGCGCTCAAGACAGCAGTTGGGTCTCTGCACAGAGATCTTGTTCTGTCCATGATGGTCTCTGAATTTCCAATCCTTATGGTTTAGAAAACAGCTCCAGTTTGTTGTTAAAAGACTCAGATTCTACTTGCCACTTTCTTGTTAGACAAAGAAATTGTTCTCTTTGTAACTTGACAATAGCAACTGGAATTTAAAATGAACATTCCACTACTAAGAATTATAATTTATTCCACAGATAAACTCATACAGACATGCAAAGGTGCTTGTGCAAAAACTGTCATTGCAGTATTATTTGTAATTGTAAAGTACAAGAAAATTACAAGAAAGTACAAAGTAAGGTATCTCTATACAATGAAATACTATGCAGCTATTGATAAGAAGAAGGCAGCTTTTTATGTACTGATAGAGAATAATATATAATATATTAATAATTATAATACAATAATTATAATAATATATTGATAATATATAATTATATACACATATATATGCATTTCTGTTTAAATAATATATTAACATGAAATTTAATAATAATTTGCAAAAATAAAGGAGATATGTGTATCTCACATATGTGTATACACACACACACACATATATATTGGAGCTTCCCAGATAGTTTAGTGGTAAAGAATCCACCTGCAATGCAGGAGACATGGGTTTGATCCCTGGTAGAGAAGATCTCCTGGAGAAAGAAATGGCAACCCACTCCAGTATTCTTCCCTGGAAAATTCCATGGACAAAGGAACCTGGTAGACTACAGTTCATGGGGTTGCAAAGAATAAGACATGACTGAACACACACACACACACAGGTTCCAAAGCTTGTGGATTTTGAACCACCCTACATCAATTTTGCTTTGATCAGATCATCATTCCTTATCCATCAAATTCATCCATTCATTCACTCAACCTCCCCCCGTTTAGAGCATGCCTACCTTGGCCAGGCCTGGTGCCAGGCACTGGGGCCACCGAGATGCATTAACCACACAGCTGTCCCCCATCCGCCACCCAGCAGCTTAGCACAGCTCCTGGCTGCCACAGTACGCACTGCAAACCCTTAGCCTGGTCTGGAAGCTGCCACTGGATGCCACTGACCCACCTTTTCCATTTCAGCTCCCATGCTTCCCTTTCTCAGATACTCCTCCTCAACACAAACTCCAGGAAAAAAACCATCCAGCCACAAGCATACTAACCATGGCCATGAGATTAGCACATTTCTCTTAACAAGGCACATTATTTTTTTAAAAAAAAGAAGGCAGGTGACATGACACTCACCATGCTCAGCTGCTGGCTGCAACCTTGTCATCAGAGCGTCAGAGACAATTGCCACAACAAGCCGTGCCTTGGAGCAACAGCAGGTTACCAGGCATGCTATGAGTGAGGGTAACAGGACTCCTGCTTCCTGTCCTCCCACAGACCAGGAGCTCACCTGAGAACTTGCTGTTTAACTATTTAAGCTTTGGCCTCAGATGTCTGCCCATAGCCCCTCTCTAATAATAAGGCCAAGAATGTTCCATCAGCCACTCTCTCGGCTTGCCTCCCACCTCTTTGAATGCCTCTCCCTTGAACAGTTACTATCCTCTTGCCCTTCCTTTAAGGCAGGGTGTGCAGTGCCCCCGTTGACAGCCTGCTGTTCACCCCCCACCCGTCACTCCTGGCACACGCTCCCTGGGGATGCTTCCCTTAGCTTCAGCTACCATAAGCCTCAGCCTCTCCCAAATCTGTTTTTCACAGACCTGTCTCTTGATATCTTTAGAGTTACCTTCCAATATTGATTATACTGGCTTCCCTAATAGCTCAGTTGGTAAAGAATCCGCCTGCAATGCAGGAGACCCCGATTTGATTCCTGGGTCAGGAAGATCCACTGGAGAAGGGATAGGCTACCCGCCCTAGTATTCTTGGGCTTCCCTTGTGGCTCAGCTGGTAAAGAATCCACCTGCAATGCGGGAGACCTGAGTTCGATCCCTGGGTTGGGAAGATCCCTGGAGAAGGGAAAGGCTACCCACTCCAGTATTCTGGCCTGGAGAATTCCATGGACTCTAAAGTTCATGGGGTCGCAGAGAGTCAAACATGACTGAGCAACTTAAAAAAAAAAAAATTGATACACTAGAAATAGAAAATCTAACTTTCATCAGGACCAGGAAAGTAATGTTAAACGTAGGAAACATGCCAGGCATAAGAAAAACCGTAAGTTTGATGATGAAGTGAAGTCACTCAGTCGTGTCCAACTCATTGCGACCCCATGAACTGTAGTCTACCATGCTCCTCTGTCCATGGGATTTTCCAGGCAAGAGTACTAGAGTGGATTGCTGTTTCCTTCTCCAGAGGATCTTCCTGACCCAGGGATCAAACCCGGGTCTCCCACATTGTAGGCAGATGCTTTACTATCTGAGCCATGATAAGTGGCAACTAATTCCCTAACCTAGTGTCAAAGATGTAACTGGGCAGGGACTTCCCTGGTGGTCCAGGGGCTAAGACTCCGTGCTCCCAATGCAGGGGGCCCAGGTTCAAACCCTGGCTAGGGAAGTAGATTCCGCATGCTGCAGCAGAGATCAAAGATCCTATGTGCTACCACTAAGACCCGGTGTAGCCAAATAAATATTTTAAAAGATACAACTGGGCTGTGGTTCTCAAGTGTGGTTGCTGGCTGGCAGCATCAGCATCAACTGGAAACTCATTAGAAATGCAGATCTTCAGATTGACTGACTGAGAACCACTGCAGGGAGTGTTGGCATAGGGAGCACTAGGGACTGTGGCAAAATGGGGAGTTCATGCCCTGTTACAAGGGGCAGCCACCACTGAGCTTCAGGCTTCCAGGAAGGGATGTTCTGTGTTCCTTGTGGGCTAATTCCAAATTCATTAAGAAGATATTTAAGTAGGTATGGGCAATACGGTAAAGTAGGAAGACCCCCAGCTCACCTCCTCCCACAGACACACCAAAATTACAACTATTTACAGCAGTAACTATCTACAGGAATGACCTGAACACTAGCAGAAAAGATTTTCCACAACTAAAGATATAAAGAAGAAACGATAAGCTAGGTAAAGAGACTGGGGGCACTGGGTAAGTGAACCAAAAACAAGAGGATAATGACAATTGCAGAGGTTCTCCCCAAGGAAGAAGGGGTCTGAGCCCCATCTCAGGGCTCCCAGCTCAGGGATCATGTACCATGAAGAAGAGTTCCCAGAACACCTGACTCTGAAGACCAGTAGGGCTTGCATACTTGCATAAGGGAGAGCTGCCACAAGCCCTAAGCCCCAAAGCCAGCTGTTACAGGACTCACCCCTGATCACCAGGAGGCGGGCATCTACCACGTGAGGCAGGCCACCCACACCTACCAGCACACTCATAGCAGCCAGCCCAGCCACACAGAAAGGCCCACTCAGCCCACATAGCTGGCACCCTAGAGCATATAGCTCTGGTGACCAGGGTGGAGTTCGGTGCAAGGCTCCATGGACATGTCCTACGTAATGCCACTTCTCCAAGATCTGGAAACAAAACTTGACCTACCTAATACAAGAAATAAACAGAGAATTAGACAAAATGAAGAAGACAGAGAAATGAGTTTCAAATGAAGGAACAAGATCAAACCCCAAAAGAATGAAGTGGAGATATGCAATCTACCCAGTGAAGAATTCAAGGTCATGATCATAAAGATGCTCCACAAACTCAGAAGAATACATGAATACTTTGAGAAATTTAACAAAGAGTTATAAAATATAAAGGAAAGCCAAACAGATCTGGAGAATACAACAACTGAAATAAAATGTATTCTAGAACAGGGGTCCCCAACTCCCCAGACTGTGGACCAGTACTGATCCACAGTTCATTAGGAACTGAACTGCACAGCAGGAGGTGAGCGGCAGGCGATCTAATGAAACTTCATCTACTATTCCCCATCACTCACATTACTGCCTGAACCATTCCCCTGACCCAGTCAATGGGAAACTTTCTTCCATGAAACCAGTTCCTGGTGCCGTAAAGGTTGGGGACTGCTACACTAGAAGGAATCACCAGTAGGTTAGATAATCCAGATGAATGGATTAGTGAACTGGAAGACAGAGTAGTGGAAATCACCCAAGGTGAAAAGAAGAATGAATTTTTAAAAGTGAGGGCAGGGCTTCCCTGGTGGCTCAGTGGTAAAGAATCTGCCTGCCAATATAAGAGATGTGGGTCCAACCCCTGGTCTGGGAAGATCCCACATGCCAAGGAACGGCTAAGCCCATGTGCCACAAATATTGAGCCTGTGCTCTAGAGACCAGAAAACACAACTACTGAAGTCTGCCCGCCCTGAGAGCCAGTGCTCAGCAATAAGTGAAGCCACTACAATGAGAAGCCCATGCACCACAACTCGAGAGTAGTGCCTGCTCACCGAAACTAGAGAAAAGGCCATGCAGCAACAA